CCAATTTCAATGTGTGAATTTCATGCAAACTTTAAATTCATTGTCTTGACATTCCAATTCCATGAGGATTATGATTTCATGCTTCAAAAGTAAATAAATTTTTTTGGGTGTGTTTAGGCCCAACACTTGATCCACATGGGAAGCGAAATATTGAAAGACTGGGTTCAAACATGAGTATTCTTCCACGAGTTTGGGTTGGGCTTATATTCTGTCCCCAAATTATATATATATATATATAATCTTCGTAGCAGGCTTGAACTTACCTAGGTCCAATCCATTCGTATAATTTACATTCATGTGGAGGCAGGAGGAAAACGACAAAATCTAAAATTTTGATCTGGGGGGCTCCAGAGCCTTGACTTGTATGCTACGGAGTATTATGTAATGTAAAATATTTTCAATATTAATGGGTCATTATATATTTTGTGAAATAATAAAAATGTCATTTTATAAATGCGAGAAAATGTATGGTCATTATTATAATTCTTGCTTTAATCCTGTACAAATGGGGTAACACATGAATTCTTTCTTTCCAAACTTTTCTATTACAGTGTATATATCATTATCATCATATATATATATATATATATATATATATATATTATATAAAAATAATAATAATACAACCTGAGAACTTTATATATTCAATCTAGATTCTTAAAAATATATTGTTCAATTTTTTGTATAAATTAATACTAAAAAGAATCTATATGGTTATTTATGTGTATGTGTGTTTGAGTATAACTATGTACCATGCATTTATGACGTAAATAATCAAACAAAAGTCATTAAACATAAAGAGGCCGACAATATGGTAAGAATTTGTTATTATTTTTTAATACTGCAGGTCTATTCTTAATTTTGCACACTTACCATCGTTTTTATTTAAAAGTAGGTGTATTATGATAATTGTCGTCCATAATAAATGTCATATTGTTCATATTTCTATAATCAACAAATTTAAATTTGTGAATTGGGGGATAGGATTTGTTCTCAAAGAGCCAATTAATTCACACTCGAAACGTGAAAAGTAACATTATTAAAAAAATTGTATGACTTATTAATGTGGACGTACTAAAGAGGTCCGTGCAACTTATTAGTGTGGATGTATAATTTTTTATAATCTATGTAATTTGCCCATTTAAAATCTCAACAATTGTTTAAATTATTATTATTTTTGAAAGTTATCTCCACCTATGTTCAAACTCTCAATCTCTCTTTTAAATAAGAAAAGATGATATCACTGAACCATTTGATCATTTGATAAATTGCTTAAATTATTTGACAAACAACGTGGAATGTCCCCATTTCAAACAATCCAACATAACATTATATTATTTATTTGCAAGAAAAATTGTGAAACATATCCAAACAAGATTCCACGTCACTTGAAAAGGCAAAAGTTGTTGTGGATTTAGGGGTATTGCTGTTTCCAAACGGTTAAGGAAAGTAGGAGACAAATTAGGAGACAAATTTGTTGGTGGCTAATTTATTTTATTTTATTTTTATTTTTAGGATTATGTGGATATTTCATAATTTACAAAAGTAGAAAATGTTTTTTGGACACTTCATTGTTAAGTAATGAAGTAAGTATAAAGAAACCGCACTAGTTTATAGAATATTTCACAGTTATACGCGAATCTTTGACGCGTGCAATTCATTAGATTCTTACACATATTTGTTGATCATATCGTTGTACTTTCTTCAATAATTGGATTTAGGGGTAGAAACGAAAAGTGGGCACATAAATAATGACGTTAATGTAATATGAACTAGGGTAAGAATGAAAAACAATGATCCAATAATGGAATAGGTTAGCAATTATGAAATAATAAATGTAAAAATAGGAAGAAAAATAAATAATAATTTTTGTTGGCAAACTGGCTATGAGTTTGGCTTCCCCATTATTAATTACATTCATGAAAAAATATACATATCTGTCAGTTTTACTAACGCGGCCAAAGATGGTTAATATAAGTAAATTTGTCGTTCAAATTGTTGTGAAGACACTTTTGTTCAATACTTGTACGAAAAATATTATTATACCTCCAACTCATGGAATTTTCAAGAATCTAATTTTCTTTAGTTAAGAGTATAATTATTTTTTTGCACAACAAGTATTGAACAAAAGTGTTTTCAGAGTAATTTGATGGACATATTTGTTATATATGAAGCTAAAACATTTTGATTCCATACAATTTGTGTAGATTAGAAATAAAAAAATGAAGAGTTTTTCTTTTTATTTTCTTGACAAGAATGTCATATTAAAAGTTAGACGTAAAAAACTTCGAAATCAGGCTCCGAAGTAACTCAATCATTGAGCTATGGAGGCATTCACAAATAAATAAAGAGGGAAGAAAATGAAAATAAAATTTTAAGAAAAAAGTAAGGAACTTCTTGGTTCAGCTTTCTAAACTTAATTATTGATAAATTATAAAATTTAAAATTATTTCCAAATAATATAAAATTATATCTGAAATATACATTTTAAAATAGTTTTCATAATTAACCAAACATATTTTTATATAATTCAATGGTATTCTGTTATTTGAAAACATATAAGTTAGATAACATAGACACAAACACAAATATGATTTTTTATTTATATACATCTATCCAGTTAGAATATTATATAACTTTAATTCATTTATAATTTTTAGGGTGAATTGTGAAAAAAAAACCCTCGACTTTCACCCATTTGCAAAAAACCACATTTATAAATATGTTTAGCAATTAACCCCCCTCAACTATCATGAGGGGGTCATTTTAACTAATTTTTGTTAGAGTGATTGCGTGAGAAAAAATTTCGGACAAAATTACCTTTAACGTGAAGCATCCGTTTGAGTGATTGTGTGATAAAATTTTCAAACGAAATTACCCTGTAAATCAAAACAATACGTTAGTATTACTAAAAAAACCCACCACTCACATTTTTTTTTTAACGACATAAAACACTAAAACGAGGCCTTTGATTTTTTCTGTTGAAATGTTATTGCATTTGGAATATATATCGTAATATGGTAGTTATTTATCAAATGACAACTTAAATTGATTTTGGTGAAAAAAAAACCCTTGTACCATGATTTTTAATAAAATAAAATAAAGAAATAGATGTATACAAGAGATCCAAAAATATCAGTACTATGATTTTTTATAAAATTTAAAAGTAAAAATTTATCAAACTATGTGGCAAAATCATCTCATAATTAGGAAGAAATGGCCTTTTTCATATATGTGTGCGTGTGTGTAGCATATCACAATTTAATAAAAAAGTATTGGGATTGAGATCTATTTTCGCCATTGGATTTTTTTTTTGGTATGCTATATCCATAATTTTTTAGAATCTTATAAATTTCTATTTTTAAATTGTATAAAAAATCATGGTGATGGTATTTTTGGATCTTTCGTATATATATCTCTTTTTTTTTAATCTTATTTTATAAAAAATCATGGTAATAAGGTTTTTTTTTTTTTTTTTTTTTTTTTCACCAAAATCAATTTAGATTGACATTTGATAAATAACTACCATATTACTATATATATTCCAAATGCAATAACATTTCGAAAGAAAAAATCAAATGCCCCGTTTCATAATAAAATGTCTCGTTTTAGTGTTCTATGCAGTTTAAAAAATAAAAATAAAGTGAATGGCGTGTACTTTAGTAATATTACTGTATTGTTTTGATTTTAAGGGTAATTTCGTTCGAAAATTTTATCACACAATCACTTTGACAGAGGTTAGTTAAAATGACTCCTTCATAATAGTTGAGGGGAGTTAATTGCTAAAGATATTTATAAGGGAGTTTTTTTTTACAAACAGATAAAATTCGAGGGTTTTTTTTGGCACATCACCCTAATTTGTACAATATGAGTTTCTTTAACGTGATTTTGAAAATGAACTCGTGCCATTTATGTAATTATTTTTATAATATATATATGTACCATTAGTCAACACTTTTCATTACAACATTTTTGTTTTAAATGAACAATATCATTTTTATGCTTTGACCAAATACGTAAGACCAGTTTTATTAATGAAAAAATTTTGAACACTTCACGATGTATTCATATAATTTTTTAAATTATGGGCATGACTAATTTACTCGTGTTTGTGTGCATGATACTTGTGTTGAAAATATTGAAAAAAGTAAGGGAAATGTCTACTATGTTTAGGTGTCCAAAATAATAAAATTTAATTTTACACGTACATAAAAATGTAGCGCACATAGAATGTCAATATCCAATATAAATATGACACATATACAACTCATTCATAGAGCTATCTGTACTCCAACAAATACACTCTGAATTTTCACAACTGCCGAGTTTTTCATAAAATGTTTCATTGTTTCCTCCAAAAATTAAAAAGTATAAGTCAATTTCTTGAAAAAGTGGTTTGAACATACAATTATATATATTTTTTCAAAAAATAAAAATTGAGTTATTTTATTTGTTTAAAACATAAAATGTGTTTATGCTTACTTTTTTTTAAAGAAATAATATAATAGATTACTACGTATTTATTGATTATTATGTTATTTTTTATAAAAAAAAACCCAAACGAAATAAGAATAATTTAGGTAAATAATAGTAACATTTTCTTGTAATGCTAACCATATATGGAAATTTTTTCTACAACTTTTTTACAATTTTTTTATTTTAATCAATTTAGAAACCTATTTTCCCATATATATATTTTTACTTCACAATCTATTCCCTGCTAACCAAAATATAGACTAAAATAGAATTTCAAACAAAATATTTGCGCTACCCACTAAAACCATTACTTTAATAATCCGACCCATATAAGGAGTATAATAAATTATAAAAATAAATTAGGTAAATTTAAACTCTAATAATTCAATCCAGCATCAATTTTTTCATAGGGTGGCGCGTCACAAGTGGAGGGTGGCGCGTGGATTCGAGCGCGTGAGAGTGTGTTAAAGAGAAGGGGTCGGTCACGCTGTGGTATACGATACCTTTTTTTAGAGAAAAAGAGTGAACGAAGAGATCGCCGACGCGCGACCCATTCGATTTCGATCTCCTAAAAAACCTACTTTTGACCACCTTGCAGGTGAGTTTGTTAAGAAATATATATACAACTTTCTCTCTCTAAAACGCTCTCTCTCCAGCGCACACCCACATTCTGATTACTCTCTCTTTCTCCTTCCATATCTCGCAGTTTCGTCACGGTTCCCGCCAATCGATACAATCTTTGTATCATATAAAACCCTAATTTATCTCTCTGGACTCTACGCACAGGTGAACTAACGTAACTTTGAAGGATTAAGCCTTAATAATAAAGGATTAGCTTTATTGTTAAAATTTAATCTGTGAGGTTTATCTGATTATGTAATGGCAATTTGTGTGGCTAGTTTGGTTGATTTGTGATCAATTTTGTGGTTTTATCGGTGGATCTACGTGTTTGGTGCAGAGGAGGAACTAAAAGACTTTTAGGTATTCGAGGTTTGGATATATGTCCCTCAATCAATCAAGGGCCGAGAAGAGCGAGTCGACACAGTACAGGAGATTGGGTCGATCCGGGAGCTCTGGTCAGCCCAGGAACTCTTCTGGTGGTAGCGGGAAGGGCGGCGGCGGCGGCACCGCCCCTCCACCTCCGTATTCATCCAATCGAAGGTATATATTAGTTTGTGTTGTATATATGTAATATATTTATGTATCTGTTAATATACATGTATTTATGCATATTAGGAAATTAGGGTTTGTTTGTTTTTGGTTTTTTAATGATTGTATGCTTTTCTGGGTTGTTTTAGCTTTAAGAAGCCTAATAATGCACAAGGAGGGCAATCTAGGGTAAGCGCTGCGAGTGTGAATTCAGATTCTAATACTGCTTCTGCTGCCCGGACTGTGCAGAATGGTGCACATTTACAGCACCAGTTACATGGTATGCGATCAATTTCATTTATTCTTTTATGGACTATCGTCATTCTGCTCTGTAAGTTGTAATTCTGAAAGAAAATTTGAAGAGAAGTTTTGTTTACTTGATGGGTTGTGAACATTATCGTGGAATTTTGTTATATTGATTCAAAAATTATGATAAAGACACATTATTAGGTGACACAATTGTTTTTGTCATTGTTACACAACTTTCATTTTGGTGTTATTGTTATAGGAGAATCTGATGCACCAGTCACGGGTGTTACTGTCAAGCAAACTGATATGGCTCAGAAAAGCACCCGAGCTGTTCCAAAGGCTCCATCTTCTCATTCGGCTACTGTCAATACTGATATCACATCGCCTGCAACACCTGCAAAGGGTACATCCATTTAGTGCTTTATATACCTTCATGCTGTGATTATGGTTTTTGTTTTTCATGAATTTCATATACTTTTTTTTTTGGTTGACAAGTATGAATTTCATATTCTTTGTAAGTCTGAGTATTAATTTTCTTGATAGTTTTCACCTGGACCAATTCCGTAACTACAATTGCATATAATAACATGTTAATACTGATTTCTGGTGGTTTAGCCCCAGGAGCTGTGTCTAGGTCGTTCCCTCTTCAATTTGGATCCATAAGTCCTGGTTTCATAAATGATATGCAGGTACGTTAATTCTCTCTTGAACTCTCCATGCATATTTATTTATATTTTAATAACTACATGCATATTTTAAGTTCTCCTGGATTTTATGGAACTCAACAATTTTCAAGTCTTGTTCTAAGAGAAAAGATTATGGTCCTTTTATATTTGCAGATACCTGCTCGAACTAGCTCAGCACCCCCAAATTTGGATGAGCAGAAACGTGACCAGGTTTGGATCTGACTTTTCATCAAGAGTTAACTGGTCCCTAGTAATTAAGCATTGATTTATCATTTTATCCATGAGTTTCGGTGCACATGTCCCTCCATAAGTTTGAGGTGGATATCATGAAAACATTGATACTTGAAACATGTTCAGCATAGAATTTGAATTTGGCTTTGAACATGGTATGTGGTCTATGTGGATTAATGTGGAGCCTATTCAAGAAGTGTTTTTTGGACTTCTCATGTTTGTTGTTTGATCATCATTTTGCAATAGCATGATAACTATTCAAGTAATGTTACTTTCATAATAGTATCTGAGAAGCATTCTCTCTCTCTCTCTCTTTTTTATTTTTTTCCTTTTTTCCCTAATGTATTTGCTGTCCATTTTCTTCTTGTTCTGTGATTCTCTTTTTGGCAGGCACACCATGATTCTTTACGAGCGGTGCCCACATTGCCAATTCCTTCTGCTACTAAAGAGCAACCACCAAAGAAGGATGCAGGTGGTGTTGACCAAGCTAATACTGTTGAAGCTCTTCCTATTCCCAAGGCCAAAAAGGATATTCAAGTTTCCTCTGCAGCCGCTGTCGCCCAGACTCAGAAGCCTTCTGCTCATCCCATAACTGGGATTTCTATGCCGATGCCATTTAACCAGCCTCAGATTCCCGCTCAGGGAATGGCAGCCACTTCAATGCCGATGCAAATGCCAATGCCATTACCAATAGGAAATCCTCAAGTGCAGCAGCAGGTATTTGTTTCAGGTCTTCCACACATTCCATTGCAGCCTCAAGGGATCATGCATCAGGGCCCAAGCTTGAATTTCTCGTCTCCAATGGGTCGGCCGCTGCATCCTCAATTAAGCAACGTGGGAATTAATATAACCCCACAATTCCCCCAACAGCAGACAGGAAAATTTGGTGGCCCTCGTAAACCTATCAAGATAACACATCCAGAGACACATGAAGAGTTAAGACTTGATAGAAGGACAGATATGCATATGGAAAGTGGGTCATCAGGCCCAAGATCAAATTCTAATATGCCTCATCAATCCCAACCTATTCCACCATTTGCTCATCATATGAATTACTACCCTAATTCTTATGATGCCAGTCCTCACTTTTTTCCAGCTCCAAGTTCTCTTCCTCTAACTAGTACCCAGATTGCTCCTGGTTCCCAGCCACCAAGGTTTAACTACACAGTTAGCCGAGGCCCACAGACTGGATCTTTCACAAATCGATCTGCTCTCAATTCCTTTTCGATTAATAAAACTGACACCTCTTCACATGTCTTTGCTGAAGCATCTAATTTGGAACATTCTCGTGATGCTCAAAATTCAATCTCATCAGCTCCAGCTTCTGTACAGGTGACAGTGAAACCAGCTGCAGACAAAGAAAAGGTTGCTGATTCATCATTGTCAGTTAACTCAGCTGCTGCTGAAAAAGGCCCTTCTCCTAAATTCCCAACGTCACTTGTGGAAGTTAGCTCAATTTATCCTCTAAGGGATTCAGAGTCTTCTTCTAGAAGCTCTTCGCAGAAATCAAATCCTGGTCCCGAACCAACGCCTACATTGTTGCCCGCGGCAATAAAACAATCTGCTGCAGTACCTCCTGCTTTTTCTGCAGGGAGACCAGCTTCCAACACTTCCTCTTCTGCTGCTCCTCCTCTTGAGGAATCTACATCAGTTGTGACCAGTCGCAGTGAAGGCCCAAGAAGGGAAATTAGTAGTAGTTCTGACTCCTTTAAGGATCAGCAGAAGAAGCCAGGAAAGAAAGGACATTCCCAACCACAGCATCAGGTATCTAATGGTGTGATCGTCAGATAATTTGTCATTATTACCAGCTTTTATCCTAGTTAAAGCCTATCATAAATTGTGGACATGGTTTTTATACTGTGGTTTGCAGGTTGGTGGACAGCTTGCTTCCAATTCGAGCTTGCCTTCTCACTCATTAGAACAAATTGTTTCTTTCGATTGTAGAACTGCAGAAAGTATAGAAGCTAAAACAGCTACTGCTTCATCAGGAACCAGTGGAATTGTCATTGAGACTACTGGGGAACCACTGTTAACCTCTGGTGTTTCTACTTGTGATGCTTCTGATTCAAAAATTTATACTGCCGAGGAAGGCTCAATACGCGAGTCATTGGAAACAATTGGTTGTGCTGGCATAGTTGTTCAGACCTTGGACATTGACCACCGTGCTCAGCAAGATGAACGGCTAAGACGTGAAACTGCAGGAACAAAGGAACAAGGAGAAACAGTGATGTGTGAGGGGACCAAACAAGATGAAAATAGCTTTGAGACATCCTCAGAATCTATTTCTTCAAAATCTCCAGAAATCATTAATCAAATTGAACGGAGCCCTGTTCTGAAGTTAACAACTAGTGGCAATGATGTTCAATCCTTGGAAATTGCACAGAGGGAGATTGAAGCACCTGCTGGTTGTTGTAAAGAAGACGACAAAGTGGCTGATAATTCACTGATGTCCACTTCCAAAGTGCTGGATACCATAAATGCCGAAACTTCTTCATCGACTCTTGGCTTATGTACAACTTCTCATGGTGATAAGACTGTGACTTTGGATGTCTCTTCAAGTAGAAGTGATAGCATGGGTAGGGAATTAGTAGTTACAGAACCTGGTTTGTTAGATCAGGACTCTATTTTGACTCCATCTGCTTCAGAAGTAACAGTTAAACATGAAGAAGGAATTCAGAATATTGGTTCTGGGCCGGTTTCTGTATTGGAATCTGGTTCCAAGGACAAACCTGTGCCAGAACTTTATAGGACAAGAAGTATTGTGGGTAAAGGAGGTAAGAAGAAGAGAAAAGAAATTCTGCAAAAAGCAGATGCTGCTGGGACAACATCTGATCTTTACATGGCGTATAAGGGTCCAGAGGAAAAGAAAGGAACTGTTCTTTCTTCAGAAATCACTTCTACTAATAATTTGAAGCAAGTGCCTATTGATTCTTCCAAGGAAGATGCTGTATTGAGTGAAATAAGTGGGCAGAGTAAAGCTGAGCCGGATGATTGGGAAGATGCTGCTGACCTCTCCACTCCAAAACTGGAAACTTTGGATAATGTGAAGCAAGTTTCTGGAAGATTGAAGCATCATGGTGAAGATGGAAATGGAGTAGTAGCCAAAAAGTACTCTAGAGATTTCCTACTGAAATTCTCAGAGCAGTGTACTGATCTTCCAGAGGGTTTTGATACATCTGATATAGCAGAGGTCGTGATAATTTCTAATGTCACTCTTTCTTCTGAATCATACCCTAGTCCTGGAAGAATTAATGATCGGTCAAGTGGGGGATCTCGAACTGACCGCCGTGGGCGTGGCATGGGTGAAGATGAAAAATGGAGTAAATTTTCTGGTCCTCTTACTCCAGGAAGGGATCTGAGACTAGATATTGGTTTTGCGGGAAATGCTGTAGGTTTCCGACCTGCCCAAGGAGGCAATTACGGTGTTTTAAGAAACCCAGGTGTGCAGACTCCTGGTCAGTATGGTGGGGGCATTCTATCTGGGCCGATGCATTCCATGGGTTCTCAAGGAGGTATGCAACGAAATAGCCCTGATTCTGACAGGTGGCAGCGTGCTACTGCTTTTCAGAAGGGTTTAATTCCTTCTCCTCAGACTCCTTTACAAGTAATGCACAGAGCTGAGAGGAAGTATCAAGTGGGTAAAGTGAATGATGAAGAAGAGGCCAAGCAGAGGCGGTTGAAAGCTATTCTAAATAAGCTAACTCCCCAGAACTTCGAAAAACTTTTTAAACAAGTTAAAGCGGTTAATATTGACACTGCCGTCACTCTCACTGGCGTAATCTCACAGATCTTTGATAAAGCTTTAATGGAACCAACTTTCTGTGAAATGTATGCCGACTTCTGTTATCATCTTTCTGGAGAATTACCTGATTTCAGTGAAGACAATGAGAAGATTACTTTCAAAAGATTACTTCTGAACAAATGCCAAGAGGAATTTGAGAGGGGGGAAAGAGAGCAGGAAGAAGCCAATCGAGCTGAGGAGGAAGGTGAGGTTAAACAATCTGAAGAGGCAAGAGAGGAGAAGAGAATCCAGGCTCGAAGAAGAATGTTGGGTAACATTAGACTGATTGGAGAGTTGTACAAGAAGAGGATGTTGACTGAGAGAATAATGCATGAATGCATAAAGAAGTTGTTGGGTCAGTACCAGAATCCTGATGAGGAAGATATTGAAGCTTTGTGCAAATTAATGAGCACAATTGGAGAAATAATTGATCATCCCAAAGCCAAGGAGCACATGGATGCATATTTTGATATGATGGAGAGGTTATCAAACAACATGAAACTGTCTTCTAGGGTAAGGTTCATGCTGAGGGATGCAATTGATCTGAGAAAGAACAAATGGCAGCAGAGGAGGAAAGTTGAAGGGCCGAAGAAGATTGATGAAGTTCACAGGGATGCTGCTCAAGAACGCCAGACACAAGCTAGTAGGCTGGCTCGTGGTCCAAGCATTGGCTCTTCAAATAGAAGGGGTCAACCCATGGATTTTGGTCCAAGAGGGTCAAACATGTTATTTTCTCCAACCCAGATGGGGAATTTCAGGGGCCCAAGCACACAGCTCCGGGGTTATGGCACTCAAGATATTCGGCATGGCACTCAAGATGTTCGGATGGAAGAAAGACAATCATTCGAGAATAGGACATTGTCCGTTCCTTTGCCTCAGAGACCTATTGGTGACGATTCTATTACTCTTGGTCCACAAGGTGGTCTTGCTAGGGGAATGTCTTTTAGAGGACAACCATCAATGGCAAGCATTCCAGATACACCAAATCCTGGTGAGTCCAGAAGAGTGACTGTTGGCCTAAATGGTTATGACCAGTCCAGTACACAAGAGCGGAACATGAATCACGGGAACAGGGCCCTAAGGAATCCAGACAATAGTTTTGATAGATCTCTGCCAACTTCACCACCCAAAAGAGGTCGGGGACCGGCTTCCACGCAAAATGTTTCTTTAGAGAAGGTGTGGCCAGAAGAACGCCTGCGAGACATGTCCATGGCAGCAATTAAAGAATTCTACAGGTATAATCTGGTCTCATGCATGATTCCTCTTTTCCCCAATATGCTCATGTTTGATTTAGTTATTAAAGAGACATGGATACCAACATGTAAGTTTATGAGTGCTTGCATTATTATCTACTGTTAATTGGAGACTAGAACTTGGATGCGAGTCTGTGGCATTTCCTTGTAAATGATGATGGTCTTATATCTGATAGATAAATCCCTAAAAATATGCATGGGCTACTTCTAGATTTCAACACAAAGAAATAGAGAGAATAACGAGTCTCATAGGTCATGAATAATGAGAAATGATGGTTCCACTTCCCATAAATCAGGATGTAGTTTCAAGTAATTTAATATCCTGGTTTTGCAAGTGAGATTCAATAATTTAAGTTGCAGTCAAATTATTAGAAGGGAAAATTGCAGTGACAGCCCTTGATGTTTGTTTTCATCACTCCTGGATAGAAGTTGTCGAAAATCTTGCGGAAACGTCCGTCATCTTTTCCATCCTAACATGACATGTCTAGATTGCCCCTTATTTTTTAATTGATCTCTGATATAAAATATTAGAGTAGTTAAATTACTCAAATACCCATAATTATTTAGTCTTGGAAAGACAACCCCACTATCTCCCTGACTCTCTCTCTCCCCCATCTTTCTATCTCCCTCCACCATAGCTACCTTCACCACTACCATCCCTTCTTTGTCTCTTGACCCAACCACGACAACCTCCACCACCACCCGCCCGCCCCTTCTCTCTCTCTCTCTCTCTCTCTCTCTCCACTCACCACCGCAACTTCCACCCCACAACCACCAATCACCTTTAATTCCTTGCATGCTCTGTTTGTTCACATACACTGATGCACATGAACAATTTTTTTTTTTTTTTTTTTTTTTCTTTCTTAGTTTAAAAAATGAAACACCACCACCAACGGTGGGCCTCTCTCTCGCCCGCCTTGGCTTCTCCATCGATGCCAACGTTGGTCTCTGCCACCTTGACCTCCTCGGCTTTGAAAGCAGAGTCAATTACACCATCGTTGAAGTCCTCAACGACAATTGTAGGCTCGATCAAGCCCCAATACGGAAACAGAATGGTTGATGAAGCAAACCCACTTCACCAGTGTTAAAGAGAGAGAGATTTCATTATTAGAGAAGAGGAGAGAGAGAGAGAAGGGGAACTTAGTGTTAGAGAGAGAGAGAGAGAGAGGTGTGTATTTGTTGGAGTAAGACTGTGTAGAGAGGGAGGGAGAGACTGAAGAGGGGATCAGTGTTAGCTAGTTATGACCTGGCTTGTAATCGAAACCCTAAAATTTGTAGTCATAAACTTGGTTCATCTACTTTGAATTAATCGCAATACATTGCAATCGCAATACCTCGCACACCCTAATGGCAGATCATTGCAATCCATTGTTGTTTTTCTCTTTCTATTCGATTTCACTTGACCTTGCAGTCGACAATTGCATCTCTTTATCTTTGTTCTCAACTTAGTTCTTTGTTCTTGCAATCGCACCATGACTTCTTAGGGCCAGCGGTCCCGGGGAAGAGGTCCTTGAAGATGTGTGAGGGTACATAATGTTGGATTGGATATGATTATTTACGTCTTTCGGAATTTGTTATCTTTGAGAAGCTATTTAATTTTTGAATTATCCTGAAATATGAGTTCTGTTATGAGTTGAATTTTGGGAAATGATGTCAACCCTTTTTAGTTGATTTCAAATACTGTATTTTAGTTTTGTAATAGTCGACAGCCTAACTTAATTGTTCAGTTAAAATTTCCAGCATTGCTATTAGTTCTCTTTTTCCTGCCACTATTAAAGAAGATTTGCCTAAACCTAACTTAATTGTTCAGTTAAAATTTCCAGCATTGCTATTAGTTCTCTTTTTCCTGCCACTATTAAAGAAGATTTGCCTAAACCTTGTTCGATAAGGGATGATCAGATTAGTGGCTATCAGGAAAAAAACACATGCACACACACACCACATTACTTAAGGTCTCGGCCTAGGAACGGGGAGAGAGAGAGAGAGAGAGAGAGAGAACAGAGATAGAAAGAGAGAATAGAGAAAAGAGTAGAGAGAGAGAGAGAGAGAGAGTAGCAGACAAAGAGAAGAAGAATAAGAGGGGGAGGAGAAAGTAAAAGGGAAAAGGAGATTTCAAGAGGTAGGGTTCCATGCTTTTAAATTCTTTTATATATATATATATAGTTCTAAATTCTCAATAAAATTGAAATAGTTTTAGATGACTGGTGATTTCTAACATCCTTGGTTATTTGTACATTTTGTTGCCAAGAATCTGAAAAGTGTTAAAAAATTTGCTTAGCCTTGAACATAGCTTTATTATGGAAATTTAGGCTGAACACTAGTGCTTTCGGGCTGCTATTTACATGACTTATCTTTGTTAGTTGTCTTTCAATTTTTGATATATTTAATTACCTTGAAAATCGAACTTGTAAGATTTTGTCGGACGTAATTTGGTTGAATATTGAATCACCTTGAAAATCGAACTTGTGAGATTTTGTTGGACGTAATTTGGTTGAATATTGAATTTTCTATGAATTTTTGAAGTTGTGTATGTGGGTAGTGGGATTTTCTTTTACACAGATTTTCTCTCTTGTTTGGTTAAATTGAATTAGTGATGTTGATTTTAAAATGTAATTCGCAAGTGCACGAATCTATTGGAATATAGATAGGCAAGAACGAGGTCGAACCCAAAAGAGTGCTTTGAAGAAAACTAAGGCAAATTCAAATTAAATTAAAACTAACCTAGTTACCCAAATCGAGTGTGGAGTGAAAATTTATATCAAACAAGCAAGATTAAAATAAAAATAAAGATTGAAATCAATAGAGATAAAACATAAGGTATCGGATTCCACCACCATCAAATCCATAAAGTCTCAATCATCAATTAATCAATTCCTTAAGTAATAAAAAAATTCGGAAGTCACTCCATTGTTTTTGAAAGATTTTTATCATTAAAACTCAAGTAAGATATATTCAAAACTAGATTTTCCTTCGCTTAAAAGTTGTAAAACTCTAAGCATCCTATGTATTCAACTTAATGAAAAACATATGATTAAAGATTATTACTTTTAAAGGGTATAAACCAAGCATAGATTAATTGTAATAATTTCTAACTATCACACATACATGATATAAATGGTGAAAGAAACATAAAACAATTAATCATAAGAAGCGAAAATCATAAACATTAAAACCATACACATAGGAATTGATAAAAGAACAATAGAACTTTATTTCATTAATGGAGGTTTCATCCTCAACCTTAGTAGAGGATTTAGTTACACATGATGAAAGAAGAATAAAACAAATAGATGAAGAACAACACGATTAAAAGAAACCAAAGTAAATAAAACCCGAATTCTTCCAACTGGTTGCTCTTTGCCGCCTCCCCTTTTCTTCTGTATCGCCCTCTAACTCTGCTGTCCTCTCTTCTATATATAATAGTCTCTCTAGGGTTTTCTCCAAAGAAAGGAAGAATAAATTTGGCGGAGAAGAAATCTGCCAGAATTTTCTTTCCATCAATTCAGCAACTTCAATCCTGATTTTGTCCCCATGGAGTGCGAATCATGAAATATCTAATAGACACAAGAACAACGGGCTTTGAGTTTGCCCAATTCCGATATTCGAGTCAAAATTTATGACCAAATTACTGAAGTGGGTTCAGAATTTTCTGTCCAAGTAGTTTCTATATTTGAATATAGAGACTTTCTTTCTTCAAAATAATTCTCAGGAAGATTTTTTCTTGGTAAATATGCTTCTAAATTCTCTAGAATCTCCCTAAAAAATCTCAACCCTTGAATGCACTTGGACGAATGATCTTCTCGATTGGTCTTTGCTTAAAATGATAGATATAACCTTTAATGATGTGAAAATTACCGACGACCTGAAAAGACATAAAACCCTTTATTAATTAAAATAGCAAATATAAAAGTACTAACAAATATAAATTTGGGGATAAAATATGTATTAAATATACACTCATCAAATACCCCTAAAAGACTAAACCTATATTTTGCTAGTCCTCGAGCAAAACTAACAGAATAAAAATCCTAACTACACCACTTTCGCTGGTATTCACGATTGCATTTAGCGTATGCAACAAGCCTTTAAACCCCTAGGTTACCCCTAAAGGATGAGTTATAGTCTCGTGAGGGTTTCCAGTCATGATACCCACAAACATCAGAAAATCAAGTTTCTTAATCCCATGCAGCATACAAAGAGACTAAATATATCACATATGCAACATTTTGAATACTAAGATGTCATTTTAAGAAAGAATGTAGCTTCACTGAGATTTTCGAATCATTAGTTAATTTGAGATTTCAAACCCTTTTTCAAAGTCTAAAGTAAATTTAATTGAAGTGTAGTGCACTTATCCACCTTTTAGTAAAATATCCACAATGTTCAACCGTGTTGTGAAGTGAACTGATCAAACACTAATTCAGATTTGGTCAAAACTCAAGATGTAACCTCTAGAATCCTAAGAATTGCCGGGGATGCGATTGGTACTGGTGGTTGTTGATTTTTTTTTTTTCTTCAATGAAGCTTTCTCCCAATTCCGCTCCCAGTTCAATTTTACAAGTTCACGCCGTGGCCCTCTGTTGTGTTACCTGAAACTCCTCTTGCAGAAAAGAAAAAAGAAAAAAAAAATATATATATAAAAAGACATAAAAATAAAAAAATTAAAAATAAAAAAAATCAAGAAGGCTGGATGATGTGATGGGAATTCTATGTTTTTGAAGCCAGTAGCTTGGTCACTAAATTTTCAATCCAATATTATGATCATATGATTTTATGACCCAAAAGTGCAAAATTTGTCTCATTCCCACAAAAAATCTCAAGTGAGATGAATCCTTCCTATGGAATCCTCATAGGATCTCAAAAATTGTGGGATTCTGATTCAAATCTCGAGGGTCCATTCTAGCCACTAAATGTTATCAAGATCAACTTAAATGTCCCAATTACGATTTTTAATTCAAAATTTCTTCTCATTTCGATTATATAACGATTCTGCAAGTATGCTTTAGACTTCAGATTTTAACCAACTGATTTAGGCCATTTGATTCCTCACTTTCGAACTAGTTCGAGTTCGACATTTTTTCCTTTTTTTATTTTTATTTTTATTTTTTTATCTCGTTTTGTTTTGGTTGGTTATTTAGTTATGATATGTAATAGAGAAGGTGGACTGACTTTTCTTGAGGAAGAATTCCTCAATCCACTGAGTTTGATTTCCATCTCTTTCTTTCTAAAGCCCAATAAATTTGCTGCAAATGAGCTTGTTCATAAACAGCATTGCCCCAGTCAGTATGGGGCTCACTTTGGGCTCATCTATTTTGTTTTTGAACCTCATGTTTCTTTAGAAGCTTGTGTCATGAATATGCCAAACCTATATAGGCTTGTTATCAACTAATTTGGGCTCATGAACACAAGGAGTGGCTAGTTAGTAATTTTTACTCCTACCATGACTATTTTACTATAATTCGATAAGAAATCCAGAGCTGGATGTTGTTGCGTAACTTGCATATGGTTTGTGCACTAGTTTGCATACCATATAGAACCAAGATAAAAAGTTTGAAGAGTGTTTGTAAATGTGTGTGTGTTTGTAAATGTATACAAGCGAAAATTTACCTGAAATCTGAACATAACTATTAAAAACTGGCTTGTCTTGGACTATACATCACATCACTTTAGCTTTATGTCTCTTGCTTTTAAAGATTTCATCCAGTTGAACATGCCAAGTATCCCGTAGGATATCGGCATTATCGTTAATTTATCAAGCTGAGTCAAGTCGAGGTTAGCTTGCAAATGCAATCTCAATCAAATGTTGAGTGGAGCTGACAGATGCATTTTAAGGTAGTTGAGTTCAAGCCGAGTTAGAAACCTACAATATAGATATGCCAAGCCCGAACAACATAATACTCTACCTGCTCATTTACAACCATATTTTAAGGGGAGGGTGTCCATAAAATTTGGTCATCAATCTTGTGGCAATTCTCTCTTCAAATCACTCACTCTCATGGATAGACCTTCATCAACTACATGGTTGAAAAGCCTCTCCAGCTCACCCTTCTATCGGGGCAAATGTTTTCTCTTTCTCTAAAGGGGTTTGACCCACAATTTAGATGCAAAGTTTGGTCTCTGCAGTGGTTGATGCCTTCAATATTATATATATGCTTTAAAGAAGATCCAAGATTCTTCAAGTCATTAATGTAGGGTGCTAATCACATGTAAAGGAGAAGAAGATGCTAACTTGGTCACACTTCCAAATCCAATTGCCCAACTTTTTTTGGACAAATGTTGATATTTTTGTTCTGAAAACTTCATACTGATACTAAATTTCTTGTTTTATGACATGATCAAGCCAGACTCAGTCTACCAATTTGGTTTAGTTTGGTTCAATCATGGATTTTTGTTTTTTGTTGGTACATGACAACCAACCTTGGTTGGACAACCTCAAGTTGTTACTTGCTTATCCAATTCAAACCTTTGTTACATGGACTAGGCATTTGTATCGTATCTCCCTAAATCCCAAATATATGCAGACTTGGCCGGACATGTACTCAAATAGATATGTAGCAAGGAAGCGCGAACACTCCTCTAGGAGTGCCTTGGCTGAGTCGGACACAGCCAGACATGTGTCCAACATGGCTAGGAGTGTCTTGGAATTTGAATTTTTATTTTCTTGATTAGACATGGTTAGGAGACTTGAGTGTTTTTGACACTCGACTCTTGACACAGTCATTATGCCATTGGGGAAGTGATAATGGAGAAGGTAATAGCCGAAATATGAAAGAATCAACATCTTTGAAGGAGAAAGAAAGTGGAATGTCAGCTCCATGTTGAAAGAGGAAGTCAATGCATATGATCTTTAGCTATAGGTGTCGTCTTAGGCAGGTAGTATCGGCCCTCTGACTTCCAGCTATGTAAGAACTCAAATCAAAAAACCTGCCTATCGAACAAACGAAGATTCCTTGCGCACAAAAGATAATTATGTAAATAATGGTTCCTGCTTCCCACCCATAGTGGAGGCGAAAGAAGCAATCCATAGAAAGCAATGATGTGCATGATGTCTTGGCCTCCATTATACTAAGGGAGAGGCATGTTAACTGGACAATGGGGACCAAAGAGGTTCTGACCACATTTTTCAACTGTGTTAGTAATGTGGTCCACCTCCCTTAATTTAGTCCTCAACCTCCCATATAGGATGATGTGGAAATACCACTTGAGCTGCTCAGTGGTAAAAACACTTGTTTCCTATGCACTTACTAGGTTTATGATATGAGTTTTGTGGAAACTAGGGACCTAAAGAAGGCTAAATTTGAATGTATTGGGGGAGAAGATGCAGTGAGAGAATTAGTCATCTTAAAAGGCGCCCAACTGTGTGCGCTGCTCTTTCCCTCGCAACTCCACTTGTAGGTGTGATTGCTCCAATTTTCCCCGTTCTGAGTGGTTTACACAGTGGCCAAAGCTTGAGCTGTCAAGCATTAGAATGTGGTGTTATCTCCTTCTCTCTCTTTGTTTCCTTCTTTTGTAAACTTTTATATTGCTCTTTTCTATTGTCATCACTAGTTAATTATGTCCCCCAAAGGAAATGGTTCTTAGATCATTAGGGATCTAGGAAATGTTTTCTGGGTCTTAAAAGTAGGAAAATGTCAAGTTTTATAACCTTCTTTTTGCACTCCTGATGTCAACTAGCCAGTTTTGTTATTGATTAGTGAGGGGGTAGAAAGGGTTTTGATGAGATGGGCATTTGTTATCTTTTATTTCGGATCTAGAGATGGAAGGTTATATTGCCAAATCCAAAGGTTTTTACGTCGTCTTTTTAATTTCTCAGAAACAGTGTATTTGGATCTTGGGTGCTCAGATCTAGATTCTCTCCCCTTAAATTCCCAAATCCATAAGCTACAATATGTGTGCATGCATGTTCACAACTTGCATTTGGCAATGTAACTTCAACACTTCTCTGTGTAACAATTATTAAAACAAATGTATTATTGTGTCCTATGCAACACCTAAACCATGCCTTTGGCATCCATAATTTGAAGAAATCCTGAATTCCGAGGTGCATACATTTTTGCTCTATTATATTTGGTATAAATGGAGCATAATGCGGTTAATCCAGCATTTTGGCAATTTTTGATTGGTATATATTAGGCATCTTCAGAGCTTTCATCATATGGAAAGGTTTTCAAAATAAGGCCAAACTAATGTTTGTCATTTTAATCTTATTGCTCCAGTTAAATGTCAAATAGAAATCTTTCCTTTGACTGATATAATATCAGGACATCTATTTCATTTCAACTGAATGATGAGCTCTAAATGTATGTTTTACCACAGAGGGTCTGAAGAATATAAGAATACATACTAATTCATCCAAAAGAGAAAAAAGGAGCATAATAATATATGTATAATATATATGTGTGTGTATATGCGCGCGCGCGTGTATAGATAGATAGATAGATTAGCAGTTGATTTTATAGCTGGTTAATTTTGCTTCGGTTGATCGAAGATTATTCCTTCTGAACATTTATAAGATCCATCACTTGCCATCTTTTATTTTTCGAATTGTGGAAGAAAGCTTTTACTGAGATGCTATTTTTATTTTATTAAAGTCTACATTAAAACTGTTCTTATTTTCAGTGCCAAAGATGAGAAAGAAGTTGTTCTCTGTGTCAAAGATTTGAACGCCCCAAGCTTCTATCCATCGATGGTATCCATCTGGGTAACAGATTCCTTTGAAAGGAAGGACATGGAGAGGGATCTTTTGGCTAAGCTTCTCATCAACCTTGCAAAATCACGGGAGATCATATTAAGTCCAGATCAGCTTGCCAAAGGGTAAAAAAATTGTTCTCATTCTGATTGTAATAATTAAAATGGATTAACCCCGCCTGAATTTAAGTTGGATTTCTGTTTGACTCGGTACTATTGCATTTTCTTTTGCCAGGTTTGAATCTGTTCTCAATAATACCTTGGAGGATGCTGTCAATGATGCCCCCAAAGCACCCGAATTTCTTGGTCACATCTTTGCCAAAGTCATCTTAGAAAACTTGATCACATTTTCAGACATCGCACAATTGATACATGAAGGTGGGGAGGAGCAAGGACGTCTGGTAGAAATGGGGCTTGCAGCTGAAGTAGTTGGTAGCATCCTGGATATAATAAAATTGGAGAGAGGAGAATCCGTCCTGAATGAGATTCATACAAGCTCCAGACTGCCACTAGAAAAATTCCGGCCTCCTGATCCTAGCCTATCACGGAGACTGGATAAGTTTATTGGAGGATAGGGATGCTCATTGTATGTGGTTAGAAGAAATTGATGTCTAGTGCTTTTAGGGTACATTTTTCAGTTTGCAGAAATATATTTCTTCATGGGCAGGTGGGGATTTATGTAGGGGGGGGGGGGGGGGGGGGGGGGGTGTGGGGGGTTATTCTCCTTCATGTTCTAATATTATTTCTTCAGAAAGTAAACTGCAATAGCCAAAAGTTCAATTGAGCATCCAAAGTTTTATAGTTTCAACATCACATTGTTATTAATTTCTTAACTAAAGATGAGGAAGAAAAAAAAAGATGATGTAGGTTGGCTCTCTTTCCTGATGCCCATTTGGTTGATCCTGGCTGGAATTTATGCATAACATGTTGGCCAAGTATATGACATATTAGCAAAACATTAACGTTTCAACCATTAATTTAAATTTGCAGTGTTCAGTGACCCAATATTGACTATGTTGAGATATGTTGATAACTGCAGACTAACCTTTATAATGTGGACTCTAAACACTTTTATTATTAATGAATTTAATTTACCATTTCAATTGGATTATAATTAGTTCAAATGCGCAGAGGATTAATCATTATCTTGCATTAACTATGCAAATGTGGTTCACACTAGCTATTGAAAGCCATGAATAGACAGAGAGTTCTAATAATATGACTTGACATGCAATCCAATATCTATTTTCTTTTACTTTATCATACATATAGACGAATATATATAATACAAATACATTGTTTTTTTTTTTTTTTTTTCTTATTCCTTTTATTTTATTTTATTTTTTCATAAAAAAACCAAACATTGCGAAGATCAATTATTTTTCTTGAATGAAATATAAGAAACAGAGGTGAAACAACCAGCCCAAACAAAATGGAATAAAGAATCAAAATTCATCTAACGCACCCATTAATTCTGAACAGAACTTTTTTGAATTGAGATTATAGCAAACAATGCAAATTATAGAATTCAAATAGCAATCTACAACAGGAGTTGTAGATGTAATCCAACAATGAATCACTAGCAATATTTTTCCAATTTACAAAACCCATCTCAGACAAATAATTACCGATCCACATTTCATGATTCATATCCACTATATTTCCTAGAGCACATGGAGAAAACAATAACAAAAATTATTTTCCAAATTACATCCACTAGTCTGTATAAAATATGAACAATCTTAAAGCACATCGTGTAATCATAAAGAGAATGGCTTTGTATACACGTCGAATGGCTGGCAGGCAGTCAATTGCGGTTCCTGTTAGCAAAACGAACAGAAAAAGAGATCATCAGAAACTCTCCCTCGCATGCGTAAAATTTAAGATAAATATGCCGTAGAAATGCATGTCTCAAGTCATCTGTTCCCAGAAAGTAGGTGACACATGCTCATGCCTGAAAGGCACTTGCAGATGAAAATTTCGTATATTTTTTCCTAGTTAAGGTCCAAGAGAAACATTTTCCAGAAATTTGGGTTATTAAGGAGGAACTCACTTTAACAGTTTACTATTTACTGGTTTATGACAGAAACAAAATTTGTTGACTGCAATTTTAGCTCACTAGCCTCACTTGGTGTACTCACCATAATCAGTCCTCAAAAAAAAAATAATAATAAATAAATAAATAAAAGAGTATTAGAATCATATATTTCAGGTTTCTTTTAATGTGTCTTCTAAAAAAAGTCGGTCCTTTCTTGACTACTGTATAGATTACATGTGCAAACGCCCACCTTCAACAATTATCTGCACATGCAAATATAAATGTACGTGTACACTAATGTGTTTTAATATAATAACATACTATTATGTATTAGGGCATGCATTCTTTTTTGGGTTGAAAACCCTATGTTCAGCTCTCCCCTTCATTCATTCGGCTAGGAAGGGTGTAAGCCCCATGCAAAGCATATCCAGTTTACGACAGATTGCATCACAGCAGGATGCAGACGAGTCACACAAGGAAGGGTGTAAGCCCCATGCAAAGCATATCCAGTTTACGACAGATTGCATCACAGCAGGATGCAGACGAGTCACACACGAAGAGAAAAAAAAAAAGAAAAGTGACATGAATTATGGAGAAAACCTGTTCTAATAAATAAAGCCCCCTATGAGAAGGAAATTATACATGACAATTTGGGATCCTCACATCCAAAGACCAACACATGATCAGTATGAGACTCAATATCCAAATTTATGCTATTGACAGATCAATCAAAGCAACACGGAAAGATACCTGTCTCAGCCCACTGCCGCCGACACTGCCTCCTGTCAGAAGCATTGTGAGAAGAGATGTCACTACACCACCACCAAGGTTATCTCCCCCCCCTACATTTCGGATGGCAGAACGCATGGAGTTCAATACGCTACCATATGTAGTACCTTGTCCACGCTCGATAGCTTGGATGAAACAGAAAGTCATGGCACCTGTTGAAGTGATCTTTGACAGAGCCTGTTCCCATAAAACAATAAGCTTGGGTCTTTTCTTTTTGTCCAAATATAACATCTTAGGGAATGAAAATATTAAAGGAGGTTTAATCTGACTTTCTGAAACTTATAGATTTATCTAATTTCCAACTAATTTAGTTGCTAAGGTCCCTACGTAGTCGTCGAACAGATGGGAATAAATCCCTGGTGAAGGGTTTATGGGCAGGGAAAGCGCTAACCTCATTGTGTAGCCAGCTTCGGACGAAAAACAGAAAAGAAAGGAAAAGAAAAACTTACAGATGTATCAGCAGAGGTTTGATCATCATCGCAACCACTGAAGGAAATGGCTTCCCCACCACTCGTTCCTTTCCATACACCTGATCGTGGACGATGATCCTCCCACACATACTGCCCATTCCTAAAATTTCAAGAAGGAAAGAGATAAACGTAATTACAAATTCAAAACTAGAGAATCTAGCTAGAAATAATTTAAATTAAAAGTTAATCAGGATATTGATGCAAGGAAAAAGAAAAAAGAAAAATATCAGCCTATGGCATCCCAAATTATTAACAATAATTTGAATGATTCCAGAATTAATCTGAACCAGAGAGACTACAATGTATTTCGGGGAAAGCTGCAGTCTGAATAGTTTAAGAAACTGCATGTAATGCATTTGAAGGATGAATAATTAACTAGGAAAAGTAGAAGTCATGGTTTGCATGTTGGTGATATTTTGAAAGGATTCCAAAAGCATCTCAATTTACAAGGATAAAATCAAATATATGTACTCCAAGAGATATCAGGTATAACAAGGAACTTCTTTCAAAATGTCTGAAACTTTACTCAAAAAGGCAAGGTTCAAAAAACTGATTACTGTTGCCAACATGCAAACCATGACTTCTACTTTTCCTCCATTAGTATAGGCTCAGCTTTGTATAAAAATATGCCTGATGCTACAATCATATGCCTTTCTAACACCCTCTGTACAATTCCTCTCCCACGCAATGGGGGGTTGGTTATTCCTTCACCCACAACAAAAAAGGAACAAATAAAAATTACAACCCTTTTATGATCCATCTCATCACATGTTATTAATCAATTAAGTCCATGGTGATTTTAGATAGAAGTACCCACTTATAACAATTTAACAAGCTAATAAAACATATTTGAATTCAGATCATGGACATTGTAAAACAAACCCACCTTCCCATTCTGCAAAGGAATGGTAAATCTAGTACAGTGCCGCTATGGCAAGCATCTATTATTGCATGGAGCTTAACTCCCTGAGGAAGAGGTCTGACAATTGTTGCATTGATTTCATCATCAACAATCATACCCTGAGTTTCAAAGTCCAGGGGACATAAGGTTTCATCATATCCATCAACTTCATCCCCATTATGGTTCCTTTGCCGTGAACCATGACCAGAATAGTGAAACAGTAAGGAGTCTCCTGGTTGACAGCCTTGTACAAGCCAATACAGTGCCATCCGCATGTTTTGTTTAGTTGGGATTCTGTAAGGATCAGTTTCTTCTTCTGCATTTGAATATCCCCAAAGAGTGTTAACATTAGACATGTTTAGGACAAAAAAGAAACAAGACATGGTTCTACAAAGTGGGTCACAACACAAGAAGATGAAAATTATCATGATATTGTGACCAAAGACTAAAGTTATTCCAAAAAATTGTATTGGCAAGGATAATAGATTGAAAATTTGTGACAAAACTCATTCGCTGAAAGTTGATTGCAGCTTGATCTCAACAAGAAAACTTTATCGTGGTTAACACATTCACAAGATTATAACCAACTTCTCCTTTCCTCCATTTAATATGCACTTCAGTGTAGATTCAGTGATTTTACAGTCTAATTAATGGTGCAACTTTGATGGGTTAAGGGGCCAATCGGAGCCCAACCCAAGATATAAAACCCTCTATGCAAGTTTGAGTCCAAATTGGACTCCAACCCCGAACCCAATCCAAATATATTTTTGAGCTTGGGTTGGTCAGATTAGTAAGTTTAGGATCGGGTTAGTTGGTTATGTTCACATTGAACTTGGGCCATACTCAGTTGAGCTCAGGTTGCCCAACACCTCATCCCAAGCCCAACCCACTTGAGGTTGGGGTAAAAAAAATTTACTCGAGCCCAACCAAGTAACAAAAAGAGTTGTCCAAGCCCATCCAAAGACCGGGTTGGACTAGGGTAGGGTTTGCGTTGGCCTGCCTAGTCACAACCCCAAGTCTAATCAAGGTACCAGAGAAAATGGAAAGAGGTAAGAAAAAAGTGATTGTTTAAAGAAGCAACAACCAATTGTCCCCTTTATCTTTGTTTAAGACTGGTTTTAGGTATGAGGATACCAAAACGACCCGGGTTTGGAGTGATCCACATTGCATAGGATGGGTCGGGTGTGGACGAACGGGATGAAGCCAGTTCGCGCCGTATGGGCCCAAGTCCATAAAGCCATTTCAGAAGCCCATGATAAAATGAGAGAAATCGAGTCTAGCCAAAGGAGAACAAGATAGGACCAGCCCAGTGGAGGTTGTAACCGTCTATAAATAGAAGGGATTGAGAGGGAAAAGGGATTGAAAAAAATCATTGAGAGTGTAAAGTTTCTCTCTCTACAATTAGGGAAAAATTCTTTGTACTTTCAATTGGCGCCGTCTGTGGGAAGAACGGGAAGGATTGATTGATTTCATTCCAGATCGGATTGATTCAACGCATTCTGCGAGGAAGACGACTAATCTGCGAAAGCTGAATCAACATTGGTGATAATACGATTTGTCTTGACGAGTCCAGATCCGGTTGATTTCGGAAAATTGGCGTCCGATCCAAGCAGATCAGATCCGTGCTTGATCCGGCGAACTGCGCGGTTGTGATCTGTTATGGTTACTGAATCTGGCCAGTAGTGGACTGAATTCGGCAAGCATAAGTTCAGATCTGGTGTGCGCGCGTTAGCGGAACTCCGATTTGATCAAGAAGCCTGCAGTTGATGACTTTGCTCCGATCTGGAATGATGATTGGAGAGGCGAACCCGAATTCTTTGGAGAACGGCCAGCAGACAAAGCTCGATGAGCTAATGAACATGATCGATGCTTTGAGGAAAGAAAATGCAGAGTTACGAGCTGGAATGGAGCATCGAGAGCTTTACCGTCCGAAGCTGATCATCAAGGTGATCCAGAAGGCGTCAATCGTGATGGTCAACGTCGTGATGAAGGTATAATCGGTAATCTGCCTCCGAATGTCGGCCAAGTAGAAGATCGGGAAGGGTCTGTTCGTCTGGAACCGCATCACAAACGGATTATGAGGGAGGAAGCACCGGCGTATGAACATCGGATTGCGTCACCATGGCGGAGTGAATTTGTGGAGGATAGGTCGTTCGATCCGCCATACCGACCTTCATTAGCGACAGTTGATTACCATAGCTCGGAAAGGAGATCTGCCGATCGAGGATTTCCGTCACGGTTTTCAAGAGAAAACGAAGCACTGCGTTCCTCAGCAAGGACGGTCGCATCGCCGTTCACTGATGAAATTCTGAACGCGCCGAATCCGAAGAAGTTTTCCATGCCGATCTTCATTCTGTTTGACGGAACAACCGATCCGGTCGATCACATATACCATATTCAGTTGAAAATGGCTTTGAATACTAATAATGATCCTTTGATGTGCAAGTGTTTCCCTACGAGCTTGGCTGGACTAGCTCTCAATTGGTTCAAGAATCTGGCTCAAGGCTCAATCGCCAGTTTCCAGGACTTATGTGATAAGTTCATAAGCCAGTATTACGGGAATAAGCGTCCGGCTAAGGATGTATCGAGCCTCTTTACAATGAAGCAGCATGAGGATGAGCGGCTCCAAGCTTTTCTCACCCGGTTCAACCTCGTTAAAAGCATGGTAATGGAGTGTCACCCGTCAACAGCAGTCCAAGCATTTAAACTCGCAATGAACCGGGGGACACCGTTCCACACCAGCTTGGTGGTTAATACGCCAAAGACAATGGACGAGCTGAACGAGAGAGCTGACGGTTTTGTTCGCCTCGAGGAGGAAGAAGCAGCTAATTCAAGGAAGACGTCAATTATTTCGACGAAGGAGAAGTCCAAAGCCAAGATCCGGCAAAAACAAGCTCAACCGCAACGTTACCCCTCATGGAAGGCGGAGAAGAGGCCCAGGGAGGAGGAATCAGTCACTCCACTCAGAGTCACCTTAGCAAGGCTATACCAGGAGAACAAAGATAAGTTTCGTCCTCCTCTGCCAATCAGGCAACCTCTTGAACAGAGGGATCAGACTAAACATTGTGTTTTCCATAGTGATTTTGGGCATCAGACTAATGAATGCAAGAACATAAGGAGGCAGGTAGAGATGCTGATCGCAAAGGGGGAGTTTGCAAGCTATGTTCAGGGTCCGGCGCAAGAGCATAACCGCCCGACTGAACAAATCAAGCGGAACCAGAGGCCGAACCAACACAACTCCCAGCCCGTCCGGATTATAAACGCAATTCATGGCCGGCCTGAACAAACGACGGAGTCAGAGGAGTTGCTCAGGACGAGGTTACGCCAGGCCCAGCTGAAAAGAAGAATTGGTAATGTGCGCGCTTTGCACCAGCAGAACACGTCCACGTCGATAAAGTTTGATAAAACGGACCTGCTACGCGTTCAGATTCCTCATAAAGATCCACTAGTCGTTAGTCTGACGATTGCAAAATGCCTGGTTCGGAGAGTCCTGATTGATCCAGGAAGTAGTGCGAATGTCATGCCCAGGGTGACGTTCGACCGACTGGAGATCGAACCCGAAAAACTCAAACCCACAGGGAATCCGTTGCTCGGATTTGATGGGAAGCGAGTGGAACCCATTGGAATAGTGGGATTGACAGTACAAGCCGCTGAGCGGGTTTTGACTGAAAGTTTCGTAGTAGTGGAAATTTATCCATCATACAACCTCTTGATAGGCAGAGGATGGATTCACAAAATTCAAGGCGTTCCATCAACCTTACATCAAGTAATGCGATGTTTGGGTCCGGATGGGACCAAGGTGATAGATATACACGGGGACCAGGTTACGGCTAAAGAATGTTATTCATTAACTTTGAAATCTGCTGGAAAAGGGAAAAATCCCATCCGTTCCGCCATTCCAAAATAGCAATTACAGAACCCTTCTCCCAGCAAGGATGGGGGGGAGAAGCCACCAGTTCTGACCACAGAACCCCTTCATGAAGTAAAGATTGACCATGAGAAACCAGACCGAACAACAAGGGTGGGCACCAAACTCACTGAAGAAGAGAGACTAGAGTTGACTAATTTCCTGATTCGAAATGCAGATGTATTCGCATGGAGCCATTTAGATATGCCAGGGATAAATCCTGCTGTATCCTGTCATTCCCTCAATGTGGATCCGAACGCAAAGCCAGTGAAGCAGAAGCAGAGAAGATTTGCACCAGAACGAAACCAGATTATAGCTGAGGAGGTTGATCGGCTGCTTAAAGCCGGATTCATCAGAGAAGTTCAGTACTCGGCCTGGCTCTCTAACGTTGTCGTAGTGCAGAAGAAGAATGGGAAATGGAGAGTGTGCATCGACTTCACCAACCTAAACAAAGCCTGCCCAAAGAATAGTTTCCCATTGCCCAGGATTGATCAAATGGTAGATGCCACCACAGGATATGAGCGGTTAACTTTCCTGGATGCTTATTCCGGTTATAACCAAATTCCTATGGACCCAGTTGATGAAGAGAAAACTTCATTTGTTACTGAACGAGGGACTTATTGCTATAAAGTCATGCCATTCGGATTAAAAAACGCTGGAGCTACTTATCAGAGGCTGATCAGCAAGATTTTTAAGGGCCAGATGGGCAGCAATGTCGAGGCTTACATTGATGATATGGTGGTCAAGAGTAAGAAGAAGAGCGATCATTTAGCGCACTTGCAAGATGTGTTCGATGTGTTGCGCCAGTATGGGATGAAGCTTAATCCGGCCAAATGCTCATTCGGTGTAAGTTCCGGTCAATTCCTGGGACATGTGGTCAATCATAGAGGAATTGAGGTCAGCCCAGCACAGGCAGAAGCCTTGATCAGGAATGCAGAGCCGAAAACAATTAAAGAGGTGCAGGCACTCACAAGCAGGATAGCCGCACTGAGCCGATTTATTTCCAAGCTTTCGGACCGCTGTAAACCTTTCTTTGATACAATACGAGGGCATGGAAGACAAACCTGGGGGGATGAGCAACGGCAGGCACTAACCAGCCTGAAGGAGTACATGCGTAATCCTCCAGTTCTGTCTGCTCCAGAACCAAATAAGAAACTTTTTCTATATCTCGGGGTGTCCAGTATAGCAACCAGTGCCGTTCTGATCCGTTGCAAAGAGGGCAAGCAGTTTCCGGTGTTTTATGTTAGCAAGACGATGTCTGAACCGGAGAGAAGGTACTCTAGGGCCGAACGAATGATCTTGTCGCAGGTCAACGCAAAAAGGAAGCTTAGACACTATTTTGAATCTCATCCAATCGTCGTTTTAACAACTTTCCCTTTGAGAATGATCCTGCACAAACCGGACCTGTC